TTAAGAATCGACACCCTCTTTTTTTTTTCTTTTTTTCTCATCGTCTCAATCTCAACCCAACAATATCCAGACCTTCCAATTAGGTGAAACAAACAAACCAAACAATTTTCTAAATCTTATCAAGTCGTCAATTCTGAGCATTTTTCTTAACAAATTTGTTTTTAGTGTAGAAGATGATTTTTCTGCTTATACATCAAACGAATTCAAGTCTTTTCTAAGCGAAGAAGACGAGAACAGTCTTAAAAGAATTTGAAGAACAAAAACCTCACTGTTTCATCAATGCGACCAGAGGCGAAGATGATGAGTTTGTTGCAGAGTTTGCTTGTAAAAAGAAAGGGAGACTAGAAGACGAACACACGAAAACGACATCTCCATTCGATACATCGATTGCAATCAATTGCTTGTACGGATACACAACTTTGAACGGATCAAGATGGAACGTCTCCATGGATTTATCCCAAGAAACCAGAATCAAAGTCGAATTCAACAAAAGGGTCGTTTTTGTTGGTGCTCGTATGAAGCGATGCTTTTGTAGCTAAGGAAAAGGCTGTTGTTGTTGATGTGATTATGGAGGATTTGAGAATCGTGTGGATTTGGTAGTATTGGATGGTTATAAAACCAGTTTTCTTTTGGGTTTTTTAACCCACGGAGTAGGTTCATCGTTATCGTCACCGTTGTTATTCGTCCGAGATAGTTCTTAGCACCGTCGAGCCAAATTTCGTCAGTATTCATAGCTTTTCACTTGAAACAAATTCTGAATTTTGGAGAAGTTGAAAACCTATATCCATACATACCCAACCATAATCAATGTATCCACGCTTAGTTGTCCATGGTTAAGCAAATAATCTTATCCAACCAAAACTTCTTGACATGTTATGGATATAAAGTTGGTGAAAACGTGTACAATTCTGGTCTTTGGATGCCTCCAGCTACATGAGAGCTAGGTCTCGATGTCTCGTAATATTAATCAGTGGCTCATTTTGATGATGATGATGAATGTGTGTGCGCATTGTAGAACCTTGATGACGATGTGTTCTTTGTTTCATCATATAATAAGAGAATGATACATACACAGCTCATTTATTGGTTGTATTGATGAACATATTCTCTTTTCCGTATTAGAAGAGCATGAGTTGGTGTGGAGAAAGTATTGTAGACCATTGGAGTATCATCAAGGATAAGTTAGTGTGAATCCATTACATGAAAATCAAAACCAAGAAAAAACATGATCCACTACATGAAAATTACGGATACATACACTAGGAATGATCATTGACGGGAAGACTTAAGTTTTGAAACAAAAACCAAACTCAATATACTACCATCGATACGTGGCCATCAATACGCGACCATCAATACGTGACCATCAATTTGTGACCATCTATACTTTTGCTTTCTACCATCGATACATGACCACCCATACGTGACCATCAACACATGACCGTCTTTACCCCAATCATCATAGCTTTTCCCCTTTTATCTCTAGAACATCTAGGAGAAGATAAGATACTAATTATCAAAAGCTTTTGATAAATCCAACAATCATAAAGCTTATGAAACTACAGTTGCTTCTCATTTCTGAGATAAATCCAACAATCATAAAGCTTAAGATACTAATGATCGAAAGCTTTTGATAAACCCAACTCTTCTTTTCTACATTCATTGCAAAAACTAAAAACCTCCATTAATCAGGATTGTCACATTAAAGAGAAGCAAGGCTTTGAGAAGACACGAAATCGAGCATGAAACAATATCCATACGGTTCATACGAAATTGGTCATATTATCACTAGCGTAAGAGTGATAACTATCCATGATAATATGACC